GAAGTACAGAAGATGAATCGCTGCTTGTTTTATGAAAATGAAAATGCAAACACAAGTAGATGAAAGAAGCGATGATTCTGAGATGTTCCATTAAACTTAGGTTTTCAAGAAAAAGGCCGCAAAGTGCGCATTCTGACGAACATTTACGGACTTGAGACATCCACGGCAATTTTCGCGCGCTATCCCAATTATTCGCCTTCCAAACTCCTCTATGATTTGTAAACAGTCTCGATGGCGTTGTATTCTCATTCCATTCGTTCATCTCGTAAGTTTCGGCAGTTTTTCTCAATCCATCTTGAAGAAATCGCAAATGTTCCGCTATAAATCTTTTGCAGCGTTGATAAAGTGTTGTACATGTGTGTGTAACAGACTATTTTTTCACGATTTCAGGTCGTCTTTTACTCGCTCATCTAACCACTCGCTTCCTACGATGTGTTAATCGGCGTAGTTATCAGAAAAAACGCTGTTCACACAAATATTTCTAATAGAGACTGTATTCTTGTCTTGCTACTCATCTAGTCAGAAACTATGAGAACGGGTCTACTCGTATTATTTTCTATATCCTGTATATATTCTGTAGAACATGATTCGGTAAGTCATTTTATGGTTCGGGTTTTTTTTTCTAGAAATTATGTCCTTGAAATTCAGATATGTGACGATGAAGATAGTTGTCCGGAACCGACACACACTGTGATTCGGTTAGCAAAAAGGGACGACAAATTGGCACGGCAGCTAGCCGAGGAGCATGGAATGCTAGTGCGGGTAAGATCAATCTTTCGAGTTTTTACTCACCCAGTCCCAGTCCTTCGCTCGTCGTTTGACCTCGCTTTCCGCATCGTCTTGCGAAAGTGAAACTGCGAACGCGTTTTTTCTTCGCTCCATCAAATTTCTCTCCGCGACTCGCTTTGCCTGTGACGGAACCGAGATTTTGCTGATGTAATAGATTCTCGTCAATTTGTGAAAGCAGGAAATTCACCTGTGTAAGTCGTACGGGATTCGCGCAATAGTGAAACCTGCAACACCACTTTGCAAATGCAGCCTACAATGATGTACAATGGACAATAGCTGTACTTTTGAATTCGGGCATGTTGTTTATCATTTCGGCGAAAAGCGCATTGAGTCCGCATAGTGCGACTGGTAAACCTTTTTTAACCAAAGTTTGTTGGCAATGTGCAAAGCGCTTTTACAGGCATTGGACAGGCAAAATGGACTCTCTCGGATTTTGGTGGATTTAGGTAGTAGAC